AAAACATTAGTGTCCTGAACCCCTGACCTACCTGGCAGCAAGTCAACATGTCAAGTCCAAAGGTCAGGAAATGTAGTCCAGGGTCAATCCAAGTAGTCAAGTCTGAAGTCCAACAGTCAGGATACAGTCCAGAGTCAAATCCAAAGCACAGTCTGTAGAGCTCCAGATGTAAAAGTCAAAATCCCTCAACATGGGCAGTCGAGCAGACTCAGCACCTCAGCTCAGCTTCACCTTTGTACTTTGCATGCTGATAGTAGCATCTGGGTTTGATGAGGCATGGGACCCTCAACTGTTCCCAGTTATAAAAGATCTAGAGAGAATTGTCAGAAATGGTACTATTTATTGATAATTCAATATCATTACTGGATTCTGTAGACGTAATTTATCACTGCCAAGCACTATACTTTTGGATCAATAAACGGAAATTGAAAGAGAAGATCATAATTATAAGCTTTATGTATATTGCAGTTTTGGTATGTGTTTGTATAAATAGATGTGATTCCTAGGCACACTTAATTTAAACTGCTTAAGATTTTTATAATGAATCATAGAATGTGATACAGATTTGTTCTTATAACTATTTGTCTATAAATCATTGCATTGATGTTGTTCTTGGCTTCCTCCTGCTTTGAATAAAATAAAATAAACCAGAATCCCAGAAAGCAATTGAAAAGGGCAACTTATTGATATTTTGGAAGATAATTTGTGTCTTACATACGCTTAGATAATGCACTGGGGAGGTTGTGACACCACAGAGAATAAACTCAACAGATGATTATATATTACTGAAATTGATCAGCATACCGGTTAAAAATTCTATTTTAAAATGTTATTGAAATGGAGAGTAGATCGTAATTTGAAATTCCCTTACTGGCGATACATTTACAACCAGACTCATAATCCAGAAGAAATAAGTTCAAGTTCTTCCAAGCTAAATTAAAAGATAAAATACAGGCGAAGAGTTCCTGTTAAACTGTAAGCTCTATTAAAGGAGACTGAGTAAAATGGTCAGTTAAAATGGACCAGTTAAAATGGTTAAGGACACACAAGAAATGGAGAAATCACTGACTAAAATCCCTCCTTCATGAACAACGGAATTCCCCAAACAGATATGAACTATTGTATTCCTTAACTTTTTGGACATAAAGAAGAATGAGTGGAATAAGGCTTTTTATTCCAAACACTAATGGATTAAATCAGTCAGTCAAAAGAGAGAAGAAATGGTACCCTTTCATAAGCAAGCCAAACCAGACTTTGTATAGTTATACTTGTTCGACAATGCAGGAAAGGCAGACCACACAAGTTAAGTTTTCCCCTGATCCTCAGTATAGCTCTACCATTCACTGATCTCAATATCTCAGCCAAAATGTGTAAGAAATAAAATAACCTTAAATAAATAAATTAAAACTTACCTATATAACATCATTTCAATAAATGATCATGAGACGTTCATAATAAAAACATTCCTTAATCCAGATAATGTAGATCAACAACCAGATCTAGAGAGCTGTTAACTGACCAGTCAGCTAGTGAACTCTGGCCAAGCAGGCTCTCCTGGTTGGTTAAAAACCCTTGATGATGTCATCAACATAAGGTTTGTAACAACAATGCAGTGAGGTAGGTAAGCATCATTATGTCACAACTGCTGTTAACTGAGATCTGTAAGGACTCTAGCTGGGCAGAAAAAACATTTCCAGGACTCAGCAAGAGAAAGAGTTGAATGGACTGGTTTATGCTGATAACATAGCCAAGATATATAGATATAGACTTTAGCTGTCTAGCTATTTATAGAACAAGGAATCTCCACAGCTTACAGTAAAATCCTATGTGTGTCTACTCAGCAATAAGCCCCATTAAGTTCAATGAGATGGACTTAAGCAAAACAATCAAAATATTTAAATTGTAGTTGAGATCAGTGCAGAACCTGCAGCATTCAGGAAGATCAAAGTCATGAAGCAGTATCTTTAAATAGCCTGCTTAAAATAAAATAAAAAATATGATTAGTAATGGGACCAAAGAATCTTCTTTAGGCAGGGTGATCAAGTGGTGCCACCTCTGAAACGGCCCTGCCCTTCATGAACACTTTCTGTACTTCAGATGGCAGGGGCACACAGTTGTTGTTGTTTAGTCGTTTAGTCATGTCCGACTCTTCGTGACCCCATGGACCAGAGCACGCCAGGCACTCCTGTCTTTCACTGCCTCCTGCAGTTTGATCAAACTCATGCTGGTAGCTTCGAGAACACTGTCCAGCCATCTCTTCCTCTGTCGTCCCCTTCTCCTTGTGCCCTCCATCTTTCCCAACATCAGGGTCTTTTCCAGGGAGTCTACTCTTCTCATGAGGTGGCCAAAGTATTGGAGCCTCAGCTTCAGGATCTGTCCTTCCAGTGAGCACTCAGGGCTGATTTCCTTCAGAATGGATAGGTTTGATTCTTGCAGTCCATGGGACTCTCAAGAGTCTCCTCCAGCACCATAATTCAAAAGCATCAATTCTTCGGCGATCAGCCTTCTTAGGGTCTCAATGGAAGATCTAAAGGCCAAGCAGAGCCACAAGTATGGAAGTTACTGTATTCTAAATATTCCCTCAGGACAGTTAGGGTTTTGAAGAATAAAAATAGTGCTTTACTTGAACCCAGAAATGTATCTGAAGCCACAGCAGATGATACAGTATCAGAGTTAAATGCCCTGAATGGTGAACATGAGAAAGCATTATAAAAATTTATTATCTTCAAAGGCAGCCCCACATAAGATTATACTATAGTACAGTGGTACCCCAGGTTAAGAACTTAATTTGTTCTGGAGGTCAGTTCTTAACCTGAAACTGTTCTTAACCTGAAGCACCACTTTAGCTAATGGGGCCTCCTGCTGCCACTGTGCTGCCACTGCACGATTTCTGTTCTCACCCTGAAGCAAAGTTCCTAACCCGAGGTAATATTTCTGGGCTAGCGGAGTCTGTAACCTGAAGCGTCTGTAACCTGAGGTATCACTGTAATCTATATGAATTCAAGTCCTATAGCTCACCTTTTCCATACCGACATACAGAAATGGATTGACGGAGGAAGCACGTTCTGTATGTATCAGGTATTGTTAGACCTCAAATATCAAATATTTACCAGATGTTCACAGACATTGACCAACAAAAAAAGGAAGAATTCCTGAAGACAAATTTTAAGAAGCAGTTTCATTTCAACGTTACCCAAATTCATAGGGTTATCATAAGGTTAAACCACTTCCTTATCAGCAAACCGAAGGCTATAAATGCAACAAACCATCTTTCCAACCTTATGGAAAACCCATGTCAGCACAATCACCAGTCATGCTTCATTGCAACATGAGGACATCACACATGTACATTTGGCATCAACTGCCAATTCATGATCATTTACTATAATTTCTTTCATTGTTTGTATGCCGTGTCTCCATGTAAATTTGCTCAAAGCAGCTCACAACACAACAACAACAAATGTAAATATATCCATGCAATATAACAGTAACAATCAAATCAATGGGGCAAACCAACAAATAGCAATTCAACATGATAAGGCAATATTATGAGCCAAGACTGGATAGCTGGCTAGTTCCCAGTTACAGAATTGTCTTTGAGAATATTGTGTAGATGATTCGGTACGAAAGAACGTTTTCACTTACCCAATGAATTGTTTTATATGTAATCTAATGGGTGCAGAACATTTGTTAGGAAAGCAAGCCAGAGTAATATATGTTAGTCCTTTCCTTATCTCTGTCCCTGGACAACCTCATGTTCTGAAAATATTGTAAATGGAAAAGAAAAGAAAAACTTCCTGCCCATTATGGGAAAGATAGTCACTTATGTTAAGCTCACAATTCCAGGTCTTTTTGATACCTTGCGTAGAATTTTATTTAATGTGCCGGTCCACATTTTAGTCAGTAGGGGGAACCGCCTCCTCATTGTGAAAACATTTCACTTCCCACTTTATTTAGCTTAAATTTTGGTGTTTGACTTCTGCTGTGACTCGGCTCAAAGGTCAAGGCCGAGGAGATATCAGGAGAAACGTTCTCTCGCTTGCAGGATCTCAAAATTCCCTTGTCACCAAAGAGTGAATGTTTTGTCCCAGGGAGAAGAAAAATGTTAATCCTCTCCCCTTATCTCTCCCCCATCTCCACATTGGTTTGCAAAAGCTTTTGAACGTTTTCAACAAGAGGGAGAAAAAGATTTGGCTGAAGAAAACAGGATTCTCTCTGCCGCCAACCCCCGGCACAGGACATTAAATGGCCTGTCTTGCAATAATAGACTATTCCCCCTTCTTCATCCCTATGCTTGCATTGTTGCATATGTCTGCGGATCGCCACTGCAGGTCTTGAGGGAGCTATTGTTCATTGTAAAGAAATATAAAAGAATGTCATTATAAGTTCGAATTTCTACAGTGCCTTTTGCTAGGTTTTATATATATATATATATATATATATATATATATATATATATAGTCGCATAAGGGCCCTGTGGGAAAAGAAACATCGATAGTTTGTCTGTACTGCAGACAGAAGAAATGGCTTGACACTGAAAAGGTCTGTGGTGGGAGGGGGCAGAAATACCTTGACCTACCAGAAGGCAAAACAAAAGCATCAGTTGAGGCCTTTTCTTTCAAAGCCCTGATAAATGTGAGGTCCTATTACCTGCTATAATCATTGTTTTGTTGTGAGTGAAGCCTTCCCTACATTCCTAATTTGTCTCAGGGACAGAAAAAAAAACAGACAAGAAAAGGAAAATCCGCTGGAGCCAGTTCAAAAGAACAAGGAGGCGCACCCTGACAGACAAAGGCTACCTGGGCAGAAAGTAGCCTCCAAAACTTTCTTCCCTTTGCTGATGATGATGATAATGTGGTACCTTCAGTGTGTGTCCTTAAGAAGTTACTCTGGCAACCGCACATTATTTCCATCTGGTGACTTCACAACACATTTGTGTGTGTGTGTGTGTGTGTGTGTGAGAGAGAGAGAGAGAGAGAGAGAGAGAGAGGTATATACTGTACATGCATTGACTCACTCATATCCCTGTAAAAGATTCAAGGTAGTAGTTTATTCTTCCATGAACATCAAATGACCTCATAGCCTTCAACTGCCCTGATTAAATCGGCACATCCCATTTGTGGGTGCTGTGCTCTTAAGCATGGTGCCCAAAAACTTGCAAGGTTGTGCCACTGTGCGAGATCACAGAGCCCCAAAACGCACGTTAATCAATTCAGAATTCATACAGTAATCATGTCCTTAAAAGATGCTTGTTAACTGGAGAAACTATGTACTGAATTCTTGGAGAAACCTGGGACTCAGCTATGTAGCTGCAAATAAAATGTTTTAAATGTATTGTAAAGTACAATATACAAATGCAACACTAGATGGCAACAGTGAGCTATGTCAAATTCAATGCATTTTTCAAAACTTTTTTTTTAAAAAACAAACATTTTCACAGCCTTTTTTTATATGTATATAGATTCCACCCTGGTGTTTGTTCTGTGGTACAAGGCCAATGAGATGCCCAGTGAGTGTTCGGAAGCATTCTTCAAACTCAAAATCCCCTTGGGGATCATACTAGCAAGAATATTGGCACTGAAGGTGTCATTCTGATTGACTGACAGTGCTTTCAGTAACGGATTGGTGGTGGTTTTGGCCTGTGAACTATGGAGCGAAGAAATTACCTTACGCGGAGAGATCCATCTGAACAATTTACTACTCTACCAAGTGAGTGATTCTTTCCAGAGGATGGAAAGAGTGATTTAAAGACACTCAGAAATTTATTGGGTGTGATAGAAGTGAAGAACAGCTGCAAGGAGGGATGACTTCTTTGAGTAACTAAAATCTTTTGGTGGGAAGATGCACTCCATCACTCTGCTCTACAAAAAAGTCATGCTTCACTTCTCTTGTAGGGATATAATAGATGATCGTTATAAAGTACTAATATACTGGGTAATGATACATACAGTTATTATTTTCTTCATTATCAATAATCTCCTGCAGTGGATCTGAATAAGACAGTATCATTCTTCAATTAATAAATTGGACTCTTACGTTTGCATGTGGTGTGAGAAGTATGTTTCTGAATCCTGCACAACTCCTGGGTACAGTGTGCCATCGGCTATAATGACATACAATAGTCCCACACTGTAATGTTAATGCCAGAATCAACCCCTCAGTTTGGACAGGTAGCTGACTGTGGTGTCTTTATTCTTTTAGAAGGGATATAAGGGGTCTTACCAGGAAAATATTAGAACACATTTCAATCTGGACAAGCCAGATTGAATTGCGTATTGTCTTAAGAAACTCACACGAGTTTGCAACTAGTTTTCTGCTGTGTAAAGGGGAATGCACTCTGCTAAGTAAAGGAAGTTGCTAGCGCAAGTTAGGTAGGATATTAATAAACAATATATCCTCTCCTGCCACCTTGAACATTCCCACAAGAAGAAGTCCCAGCAAAGAAAGAATGAATACAAAAACTTGTGGAATGTGCAGAAATGGCAAAACTTACCGGAAGAATAAGAAATCAAGATAACAAACTTTTTATAAAAGAATGGAAATGGTTTGTTGAATATTTACAGATAAATAGTAAACAGATAAAAACATCGGCAGGATTATTGTAAAAACATGCAGTTTCATAAGAGTATATATTTAAAGAAGACGAATAAATAAGCAAATTAAGTTAATTTGGATATGCAGAAGATATTAAAAATAAATTTAAGGAACCTCAGAAAGAGGGGGAAGTGAGTCACGTTTTGAAATGTCAAAATGATTGTAAAATCAGTGAAATGTATAAATCTGAAAAATATAAACATTTTTTTAAAAAAACCAATAATTTGCAATCAGAAGAATAGGGTGGGTCCTGAAATATCTCTCACAGGTGTTAATAAAACAGGGTAGAGAGACGTGTCTTCAGCATATGATGAAAGCTATATAACGATGGACCTCTGTGGCCATAGGTGCCTTCTCACGCCAAAGATTGTGGGTGCCTGCAACAAAGAGTTTCAAAATTGACTTTGTAGGGGCCCAGCCCCACAAATATATTATTGTGGGTGCCAAAGCACCCCCTGGCCCCTGGAATTTGCTCCAGTGTCTGTGGGGAGGGGATTCCCCAGCATAGGGGCTGCCACAGAGAACACCTTCTTCTGGGTCCATCTCCATCCCCCAAACCTCCCATGGCAGCAGAACCTCTAAGAGGAGCCTCTAGTGGACCCAAGTCATTTCTACAAAGGTAAGGAGCCCTTCCGTTCATGGAAGAGGAAAGCTGGATCCCAGCCAAAGGTTTTTACGTGTGACCAGTTTTTTTAGATGGGTTTTCTGTGTGAGCTAACGCAAGCAAATACCAATACTAGAGTGTATATGAAGTAGAGCTTTAATGCTAACTTTTTGGCCAGGTATCCTGGAGGTTGTGAAGAAGTTCCTGGTTTTGAAGAGGAACATGCCTATCAACAAGCCTTGCTGTGGTAGCCAAATAATAATAACAACAACAATACAGATAGAGCTATCTACAATCCTTTTTCTAAAATGCTATTTTTCCCCCTTCCCTTTCATTTTCACTGAAGCTTTGAAGTAAATACGAAGGGAGCCAGACCTAAGCAAATTACGTGAAGACTGAAACATTTTTGACATCTCGAGGCGGAGGTTTCTTTTTACCCCTTTTCGGTGCTCGGGCTTTGTTTCATCTCAAGTACATGAGTGACAAAAGTGATGAAGGAATATTGGACAGCTGGCCTGAGCTTCCTTGTGGAAGATGTAGACAGAAGCATCATGCTGCTTGCCTCCTTTTCGGAGCCCCACACAGCCTGTTTGAAGAATACCTTTAACTGCTTTCTTGCTGGAGGAAGAAAGCAGAGGAGGATCAAGGAGGATACAGTGTCACCTCCATTCTTTTCATAGGCTCCTACTGTTGAGCAATAGGCTCAATGGAATGGGTGAAATTTCAAACCCATTTGCAACTGGGCTTCAGCAGGGCTCCAGGGGACTGCAGGAGATTTTTACAGACACCGCCCTTCAATATGGGCTTCCTTTATATATCTGCTAAAGGGCGGGGGAGGAAGAAAACAAGTGAAAAGGACCCTGCAAGAGAAAAATGAAGTGGTTTCCTTTCAATTCAGGAAAGTTATTTGCCATGCTAATTTACATGATGAACTTATTAGAAGTTAGAACATCTGAACACACAAAATCCTTGTTGTTGTTTAGTTGTTTGGTCATGTCCGACTCTTCGTGACCCCATGGACCAGAGCACGCCAGGCACTCCTGTCTTCCACTGCCTCCCGCAGTTTGGTCAAACTCATGCTGGTAGCTTCGAGAACACTGTCCAACCATCTCGTCCTCTGTCGTCCCCTTCTCCTTGTGCATCAGGGTTTTTTCCAGGGAGTCTTCTCTTCTCATAAGGTGGCCAAAGTATTGGAGCCTCAGCTTCAGGATCTGTCCTTCCAGTGAGCACTCAGGGCTGATTTCCTTAAGAATAGATAGGTTTGATCTTCTTGCAGTCCATGGGACTCTCAAGAGTCTCCTCCAGCACCAAAATCCTACATTTAACCAAATATAATACACACGGGGTATGCCCTCTGTTGTGTACACAGCCCTAAACAAGACCATAACCCTGTGTATATATGTTCTCAAACCCAGTGCAATCAATATGGTGGTATAAGTGGAATAGCCCCTATTGATTTTGTCCCTGACTGATCATTGTAAACTCAGTTTGCATGTGCCCAAAGTGTTTGTGTTTTGGCTCTCTCCAAGCAGTCTAAGCTTTGCATTGCACTGCAGTGTACAGACTGTGCAGGCAGAACCTTTGTTGCTACAGTTCACATGCACACTGCTCCTTGTGCACAGAAGTGAAGAATAAGTAGAACTTGAGAGGCGGTGCTACCATCATGATTAACATCCAACCCCGGACCACAGCTGCTATTTGTTCCTGGGGGCAAACTGCAAACTACATGTTTCGCCCTGTGGGACAAACAGCAGCTTGGGGTCATTTCAATCAGGAAAATAGCACTGAATAGAAAGCTAAACCATCTCTTGCAATGCCATGGTCCTGATCCAACTCCTGTGTACAAGCACCAAGCAATTTATGAGCATCCAATTGACACACAACTGCACACACAAGCATCACAGCAACACTGCAGTGGCTTGAAAAGGGGGTGGAACGGGGCGGAGTGGACTTATGTGTGCTCCACTATCGTGTGGCCCAGTACACAACCCCCCACGCAAAGTGGGGGTTGCCTGTACAATGTTTAATACAATGGGAGAGTCCTCATCATTTTTATTCGACCGTCAGTCAGAAAAAAGTACATTTTGTCAATACACAGTTAAAACATCCAGGAAGATTTTAAAACTTAGCCAACACTAAAATGGGCTAAACAGATAGCCCCATATCAATACAGTCAATTATAGTCTTGCGACGCTTAAAAGCTAAGAAGAGAAATTTGGCCACCAAGGAAGGTATAGCTCTAGTGGTGTTATTCAGCAAGTGTAAAACCTGGTTTTCTCCGGGTAGGAAGCTGAATTGACATAAGAGTGGGTCTATAAAATTTTGTCTAAGCTCTGCATAGGAAGGGCAAGTCAAGAGAATGTGTTTGGTGGACTCAACCACCCCCATGGCACAATGACAGGTTCTCTGGGCGTATGGTACTCCCCTGTACCTTCCCCACAATATCGCAGAGTCAAGGACATTTAATCTAGCCGCTGTAAGAAGTCTACGGTATTCCACATAGTGGATTTCTGCCAGGTAGGGGGCTGGTATGGTCCGATAAATCTGGTCCCCTAGGAACATCCCTGGTTTTACCTGGGCTATGTCCTCTTGTCTGGCAATGTCACTCAGTCTCCGGGAGATCACAGCTCTAGCTTGATTGTACGTCATGGACTCAAAGTAAAGGAGAGACAATCCGCAGGATTGAACCTCATTAATGACCTCCCTTTCCCACGATGATTGGAAATCGTCCCTCAATATCAAGGGGGCAATACCCACTGGTTTAAAACAAAGCTTGAGCCATAGCCAGAGCTTCGTCTTCAAGGCCACATACCGCAGAGCTTGCCAGCCGACCTCTAATCTCATAACTGCACCCGCTACCGAGGGGGGAATCCTAAGGATGGCTCTAAGGAATCGCGTTTGGATAGAATCCAGTTTCAAAAAATCCCTACGGGAGCCTAAAGAGATGCCCACCAAAAGAAGGGGAGGACTTTCATTTGAAAGAGTCTCAAAGCTATCTTGATTGATTGAGCCTGATTCTTAGCATATAGAGATCTAATCTGGATGGCTGCTTTAGATGCGTTAGTTGTTATATAGTCTCTATGGGCCAGAAAAGACCTATTTGACCGTATTACTTGTCCCAGATATTTAAAGCAGTTAACCTGCTCTAGGGGGATCCCGTTCATCGACCATCGATGGAGTCTCGGTCGGGCAGAGAAGACCATGATCTTGGTCTTAGCATAGTTGGGTTGGAGCTCATGCTGATCACAGTATTCCTGTAGAGCTTGCAACATTCTCCTCAGTCCAATAGGGGATCTGGCAAGAAGTGCGGCGTCATCCACATACAGAAGAACGTTCAGAGATCAGCCTGCTAATTTGGGGGGGTGGAAAGCATCATTGGCCATGTGAGTCACCAGTGAGTTAATGTAGAAATTAAACAATGCAGGGGCCAATAGACAACCCTGTCTTACCCCTCTAGTGGTGGTAACCGGGTTGGAGACTAGGCCTTTATTGTCTAGCCTGATTCTCAGAAAGGTGTTTGTATGGAGGCTGATAATCAGGTGAAGGAGACGGCGATCGATCTTTGTAGCGGCCAGTTTTGTCCATAGCTGCTTTCTAGAGATTCGATCAAATGCCTGCTTAAGGTCAATAAAGGCCACATGAAGAACCTTTGGGGCTTTGCCGGCATACTTTTCCGCCAGGTGATTCAAGGTTAATATTTGGTCTGTGGTAGATCTTCCAGGGCGAAAGCCCGCCTGTTCATCGGCAATGATATTGTCGTCCTCCATCCATTTCGATAGTTTGTTTAGCAGGTATCCCGAGTAAATCTTCCCAATGACATTTAGCAAGCTGATTGGCCTAAAGTTGCTCGGCTCTGTACGTGGTCCTTTCTTATGTATTAATACAATCAACGCAGAGCT